GTCACGGAACGGATTAAGTTCGTAACTAGAGGTACCACTGTACATGTGATATTTCAGTTTTTTCTTTTTAATAAATTTTCAGACATTTCTAAACTTCTGTTTTCACTTTGTCATTATGGGGTACTGATTGTAGATTAATGAGAAAAAAAACGAATTTGAATGATTGTTGTATCAGGCTGCAACATAACAAAATTGAAAAAAATGAAGGGGATCTAAATACTTTCCGTATGCACTGTAGTTTGGCTTGGAAACTCACAACCATGTTCAGAAAAGTTCATACAAATTTAAAAAAAAACAATAAACCTAATTAGGCAGATACTTTTGCTCTAAGATACAGATCAAAACCGAAAGTGTTTGATTCTCAGGTTACCAAGATTGGCTGTCTGCACTTTTCTTCTAACATGCTTGCCATGGATTCTGTGGATGGATAGTTTTCAGTAGGCCTTTACTTTCAAAAAGAAAGAAAATTCCTTGGAAATACTATAATTTATATCCAGCAGAGGAATTGGGGTGGGCTGGGGGTTGTGGGTATCTTGATGTAAATGGATTCTTTTTGAAGAATTAGACACATGGTTCAGTTGGTGAATCAAGCTCATTCTGCTAGAATCAAGGCTATGTTTTTCATGACCTAATGTAATTCAGTACACTGTGGTTTATTCATGACATTTGGTATCTAACCAAACTCAACCAAAAGCAACAGATTATGCCAACTTGAACAGCTGAGTTTCCTGCACTTTGCTGTGATGAAATTAGAATTCCCATTGCTCGTCCAGTCTCTTGCTCCTAATACTTACATTATTATTAATTTTCTAAAGATTTCATTGCAAGTTATCTGATATAATAATTTTTATCACATGGTTTTATGTTTACCATCCAGAGCTCCAAAAAGAAAAGTCAATACTATCTCCTGGTAATCTGCAAAAGGAGGATTCAACTCTTGTACTCCGATGTTGCATGGATCTACTCTGAGAAATCAGACCAAAACACTTTTTATATATCCTGTAGTTCCTAGTATCTGCTAGCATGGAAGAAAAAGAAAGTTATCATTGTCTTCAAACTTCTATACAGTTGCAAGTATAGAAGCAATGGAGAGGGGGAATTTGTGGTATCATTTAATAAACTGTATCAAAAGGCTCTACAGCCACAATCTAAACACTAGAAAAAAGCTGCAGTAATGTGAATAATTTGTATAGAATAGGTTAACAGACTTCAGTCAGGGTTTGCCACAATGAACCTTAAAGAATAAATCAGCCAAATGAATCAAGTCTAAATTTAACAATAACAATCTCAAACCAAATGAAAAAACAATTTGGATATGGTTCGAACCATCTTCTCTCATTTACTCCAGTGTAACTGTGAAACACTAAAGTCAATGGATTTACTTCATATTTAGAAATAGCATCAGTTAAAGGTTTTCCTAACATGTAATGTTAGAGGCAGTAAGCATTCAGATAGCACTACACAAAACAAATATCCACAACTGCTAGGAATTATGCACAACTGGCAAACAGTTTCACAAGCCATCCAACATTGCAAACATATGTCCAATGCTAGCGGGGGGGGGAGGGAGGGGAGCTTCAGATTGATACAAGCAGATCAAAACAACAGTGCAAACTGAACTCATCTGGACCACGTATTATTCTGATTACCTCTATGTGAGATTGAATAATGAAACAGTAAATTGCAAAATGTTAGTAATACAGTGTAGCATGGGTATATGTATATGTGTGTAAAACGTATATATAAAATATGCAAGATTATGCCAAACTGGTGCCTTTCCCTGGGCATATTATATAAATACATACATACATATATATATATATATATGTGTGTGTGTGTGTGTGTGCGCGTTTGTGCGTTTATTTATGTTCAATAGTTCAGGGCCAGCCATGTGGTAGGTGGCTAGGCAAATGTAGGTTTGTTTTCCTGCTTTGCAAATGCTGGTTTACCCTCACTGATTTGGGAGCTGAGAAAGCACTTGGAAAATCCAAGCAGCTTCTCCCTTTCAAATCCCTTCCAAACCCATGCCAAGGAAACGGTCATGGAGGACTCTTCCAAAAAGAGAGGTCTATGTGTCTGATACAGAACATTTTCAGTCATTAATAAAGTTGCAGGCTTTACAAGCTAGATAAAATTAAAAGGCATATTAATTTGCTACAGATGAGAAAGAAATAAAATTGAGCGAAGAATGAAGAAAATACGCCCACAGCAAGAAATGGCCCCCTTCCCCGAGGGGAGGAATTCCCCAGTTCAAAAACTACCTGAACCTGTTCGTAGATGGCCCTCCACAACCAGATTCTTGCTTAACAAAATTGCCTACCTTCTTGGCAGGGTCAAAGCCTTACATCTTCGACGTTCTGCATCTGCCCAGCCTCTTTCATAGACCTTCTGTGAAACCCTTTCCATCTTCTAGTGCCAGGTGATCTTTATTCTCAGCTGTAACATTATCATTTGTAACAATACCTTTATTCAGACACCTTGCAATGCTAAATATTTCAAAACAGCACACCTCCCTAATTTAAATGGAAAGAAACAGCACTGCATATTTTTTAAAGGCTTTTTTCATAAAGCTGTCCTGCCCTATCTTTTTTTGGGGGGGGGGTAGAGTCTGGAATTTTCGTCCCAGTGATATCTGGGTGCTACACTAATCCCCCAAAAGCATGCTATGACAGAGAAGCTTTAATACTCTTAAACCTGGGCTGTGTTAAGGAAAGGGGACAAAATTAAACTAGCAGTTTTCAGTTCGGTACCCTAAAAATGAAGAGAAGGTCTTTGAGTACCAATTGCAGCATTATTTCTAGCTGCAAAAAACATGGAGTGCTTGTAAGTAATGCTCCACTGATTCTTCTCAACTACTGATGCCCCCCCACCCTGCTTTGTGGAAAACAAGCCTTTCTGCAGCTGAATGAATATGAACCGAATTACAAATAGCATTGCAATGACTGCAGTATTTCCAACTGAGGTGCGCATCACTGTACAGTTCTATTTAAACTCTTCTTCAATAGAATCCCTAAGTAAATTATGGGTTCTTTATTTACCAACTGTCATTAAGTGGGCTGTCAGCAATCCTTTCGCTGTTAGAAGCTAATCTTGTTAAGAAAACATGTTCTTTTCCCTACCCTGCCTTACCTTGCCCCCAAGCACCTCTCCCCCCATGAACACACACATACACACTTCAAGAAGAGGCTTGTTTCTGCAAGGAATTGCTGCTTGGAGCAGAACTACACTTTATACAAGCAAATGCGCCCAATGCTTAAAGGAACTGAGGAGCATCTGCATAGAATCATCAGTGAAAGCACAAAGGGTTTGGCATACCTTTCCTGCTGGTTCTCCCCTGCTATCCTTGCTCTACTAGTGTTTAGAAGCAAATGTAATATTAGGAGTCTTATTTTTACTTGATGTGTAATTCAAGTTTTAGCCCTTTGGGGGCTTCCATTTTTTTTTTTTAAATCTTGGCAGAATCAGCTATCTGGACATTCCACAATATTTCTATCTCTCCACACAGTAACTTAGCAATTAATACTGATCTCATGAATCAAGGAGCAGCTTACTAATGTATCTCCCCCCCCCCCGATTATTTATATATATATAAATATATGCACTGATGGCCTGCCCTCCTGCCTGAGCCAAATTGGGCACTGAGCCAGAATGCTGCAAAAATCAGTGTTTGAAAAGATGACTATAAAACTGGAGTTAATGAAGAGTATCCCTTGATATAACTAAATAGAAAATGTTGTATGTTTAGGTACAGAAGCAATTTTGGCTACTCCATAAAAGTCCTCCAAATCACTGAACTTTTCAGAGATGGATTAGTAATTGCACTCTAGAAATAAATAATGCACACAGGAACAAAAATATTATCTCCCTCACTAGAACCAATCACTTCTTCAGAAGCTCACTCTCCTTCCCTGTCCTTTTTCAGGGTGGAAAATTACAAACAAGTATGGAGGCACTCAATTTTCTCCTCTGGATGCAGAGCAGCATGCTAGGAGACAAATATAAATAAAGGGAAGACTGACCCCTTTCCCCTCTCCAAGCACAGCAAGGAGAAAGAGATTGAATACAACTCGGCTGTATTTTAGGGGATCAGTGGACTGACTGCTTCTGCTGCCCCTTCAAAGTTCTCATCTGTGCAAACTTTTGTGTAGAGAAGGAAAAAACGTGTGGAAAGCAGGATGTGGATGAGGCCAATACCTGGATTTGGATTTTAACTCCCAGTGACAAAGCTGAAAAAAGGCAGTGCTGACAACAATCAATATAGTCCATGTGGGGCACACCATGCCACATCTGAGGCATGATACTCACTGGGCAGAAGACTCAGTTCCATCTGATCCCTGACTCCTCAGTACAGCATGGCCAGTGGATCAACTGCCTTCCAGATGGAGTTGGGATGGCAACATCACTCCTCATTTGCCCAAGGCCTCTGCAAAGATGATCTCACCATTGGCCTCAGTGGCAGAGGCAGGCTCATCTGGATCGCTATCTGTAGTGCCATCACTCTCCTTACCAGAGCTCTCGGCCCCATGCAGAAAGTGTGTGTTGTGGGGAGACAGTGGATACAAGACATCCTGCAGGGCACCCACTACCATAGGGTTGGTCAGCAACTCCTCATCTGAAGAATGCAGTGAGTCATCATCCACTGCCAGATGACTCACAATATGTATACCATCAAAGCCCATAGAGTCCTCAAAAGGCTTCTGTCCTTTTATTAGCCGAATCTGCAGGAGAGAGAAAGAGAAGATACTGGGGCAGCCATGATGGTTTGGCATTCAGCACTATGAAACTCACTGAAGCTCCAGAATAACTTGGATTAACAAAAATAATCCACAGTGGACAAAAGAGAATTGCTGCTTTAATACACATAAGCCAAGTTCCTGCTTGCCATGGAATAGCTATGATATGATAAAAGCCATGTCCTGGCCTAAGACTTACTAGAGGTGTGAGGTTCTACGCAATATCTTCTTTTTCCTTGGACTGACAAGGCATTACAAACATAAAAGGATAACAAATAAAAACAACCCACTCTTAAGAGAAAATTCACTTCTCTGAAGGTTATCTCATAAACCTAAAGAGATACAGCCACGTTAAGGACAAGTCAGAGCAGATCTTTAAATCACACAGGATGTGGGGGCTTTGAGCCTCTGTGTCTTCCAACATTACATTTATTTGTGTGGGGGGTTTTTTTTCCGATAAAAACTGACCTTTGCCTGACAAAGTTTGGCCTAATATACTAATATAGTTCAAACTGCCACTGACTACTTGATTAGTTTATATATTAAGAGCTGACCAAGATAATTCATAGCTCTGCAATCCTCCCCTATTTGTATAAAAAAGACAGCTGTGACTTGCTAAAGGATGCTAAGAGTCCAACAGAGAAGGCATCAGAAACTCCTCCATGGTTTTGTCTGCTTTCTCCCACTAGGTTGAGCTCACCTCTGCCTTGAGTTCATCAATCTGCTCTTTGAGTTCACGAATGTATTGGGAGGAGTCAGAATTGTTGAGTTGACCTTGGATCATTCCTTCTTCTCTCTGCATGTGAAAGGAAGAGGGGGCTAAAAATGATCATTGCTTGGAGGAAAGGGCACAACTACTTCTGATTTTAGCCCAGCACATATATTATTTCACAACCTGCATAAATAACCAAATCATATTGTTGAAGGGATTTTAGAGGCCATCTAGTCCACTGTTTTCCCTGCTCCCCAGTGCAGGATCCACTAGAACAACACTGGCAGAAAATTTTCTGGCCAGCCAGTCTGAAGAACTCTAGCAAAGGAAAGCAACCCCTGTGTGATAACTCTTCAAGTATCTGATAAATGCTATTATATCTCAGCTTTTCTGTAGGGCAAACATATAGTACCAGATCCTTCACAATTCCACAGAGGAGTTGGTTCAGGGGATACTTCACTAGTTTAGTAGCATTCCTCCAAACTTGCTCCAATGTGTCCTTTTCAAACTGAAGTACCCAGAACAGGGCACAGCATGGGGTCCAATAAGCACAGAGTATAGTGGACCAATCACTTCCCATGATCTGGACTCTATGCTTCTGTTAATCCCTCAAGAGAGCATTTGCTTTTCTTCCAGCTGCAACACACTGCTGGCTCCTGTTTCACTTGTGGCTGAAAAGGACACCCGCTAGTTACTCTCCCCTAACCTGGATTTCCAGTTCAGCAATCCTCTGCCGCATCTCTGCCACAGCAGCCATGCTATCTGCTTCTCTCAGGCGAACAGCCATAACTTCTTCTTTGCTCTGCAACAGATAATACAAACCAGTGGCAGCAGCCCATCAGACTGCAAGCAAGGAGATCTGCACAACATATGAAACAGGAAAAAAAAGTCTTAGCTCCTGGAATTCCTCATGGCAGCTGTAGATGCCAATAAACTCATGCTGAGTCATTAAGTTACTTGGAAGCTATCCCAGGGACAGGATTTTGGGCACTTTGATGACAGGAAGATCTGCACATTGTGGTGCACTAGTGCTGGGCAATTCCAGCATCCAAGGATTTTCTAAAAACAAGCTTGGCTTTAAAATTCAGAATTCCAATGTGGAGCTCCTTACCTCTGAGCAGCAGTTGAGCAGCCTGATTCATTTTATATGGGACAGCCACAGGCCCTGTGGCATTTAATGGGGTAACTCACCTTGCACTCAGATTCAGCATGCTTGCGCTTGGTCTCACTCAACTGCGTCTGCAGCCCTTTGTTTTGGGCAGTGAGATACTGCACCTTTTCATGCAGCCCAGAACACTCCTGTTCCATCCGACTGAGGAGGTTGCTGTGAATCTGATCCTAGAAAAGAAGAATAAAGGCCAGCTGATACTCTGAAATTGCAGGTAGAAAGAACTTGTAACGTCTAGCTATAAATGTCTAGCCATAGGAATACTCTTAGTAGAGAGAAGAACTACCACAACTGTTACTCACTCACCTGGGTTTCAAGCTCCACCACTCTTTGACGCAGCTCCCGGACCTCACCCTGGGCCTGTGTCTCACGCAGACGGAGATTCATCAGTTCATCTTGGAGATCATTCATTGTGTTCTTTCGGGGAGAGTCCTTCCATCGCCCACCGGTCCGGCTCAGATGGGTCTAAAGTAAGGGAAGCAGAACAATCATCTGCAAATCTAGGCACAAGTATATTCAGGGTTCCAAGGGCACCAAGGCTGAGTATGACGATAACAAAATAGAAAGCAGCACTATGCTTATTCTGCATCTAAATGGCAAAGTCACGGTCATCGTAAGTGTGGGGTGGCGGTTAAGAGGTTGGACTGGGAATGGGGAGATGCAGTTTCCACCATCAGCCATGAAAACTCACTGAGTGACTTTGGGTCTGTCCCTCTCTGCCAGGGTTGTTGATGTGGGGGAGAAACAGGATGGAGAAAGCTGGAATATAAATCTATTAAATAAAATAATCTTTATCAGGTCAGGTAGAACTTGATTCTCCTGACAACTTATTTCTGATAAAGAACAGTACTGATTGTTTTACAGAAAATATAAGAAGACAATTACTGATTATTAGACATCCCTTCCCTCCCTCCCATTGTTTAAATGTCTAGGTACGTTTGGAGAGGGGCAGGTACAACCTACTCACAAGCTTTTGGAGTGTCTCAGATGCATTGCGACAACATCACAAGAAGGCAGCATGTGATTTGGAATGGCCTTGGGAAAAAGACCTGGCACAGCCAGCAGCTGCCTCGAATAGGGCCAGGCCGGGCATGCCTCGTCAGCAATGGGGGGAAGTAGACTGCGAACGTCAGCTGGGGGAAGCAGGGCGTGTTGAGTGCAGGGCAGCTGGGGTGCCTGGGGCTTTATGCTGTGGTGCTGGGGTGAGTGGCCACAACATGGTGCTCCTTGGCGGCAGTGGTGGTGGCAGCACTGGGGCTGAAGTAGAGGCCTGGGAGTGGTGGTGTTGGCTGAGACTGCTGAAGGCTCTGGGCCTTTACTTCAGCCCCAGGGCTGCCACCACTGCTGAGGAGTGCTGCTGTGCAGGGCAAACATCTGCAGAGACCAGAGGCAAGATAGGCTGGTGGGGGAAGTTCAAGAGGAGGCAATCCCTTATTTTACTAAGGCTCGGGGCTGGGAGGGACCAAGCCGGGAATGGCTTGGATCGGGGTGGGTCCCTGTCTAGCGACCACTGGGATTCAGTTAACGATGGCAATGAAGACTGCCAGGATTTCCATCGCAGTCACGTAACCTCGCGCTTTATGACCTATATCACTTAGCAATGGAAATTCTGGTCCCAATTACCATCATAACTCAAGGACTACATGTAGTTGATTTTTTCTTCAAACATGGCACTTGATTCATGCCACTTTTAAAACAAGAAATTGGAAAAATCTTGAAAAAACAGTGGGAAAAGAGCAAAAGAAGGCCCTGCACTGGCATGATTGATCTCAAGAAACACATCAACTACCAAAATCAATCCAGTAAAATATATAGCTTTGTACAGCTCATTCTAATAAGTTGCCATATGAATGCTAACATGATTTATGCATCAAACCAGATTTTATTAAGCTCCTGGAGCTCCCAAATCTAGGCTACAAAACTCCTGGTGACCAGTAGATGGCAGCAAGGAGATACAAGAATTTCCTGTCCTTTATTGCTATCTAGTGGTTGTCTAAATGTTTGCACCCCGGAAGGTGCTTGCTATTAACTCATTCAGTACTAACTGCTAAGTAATTTACAGGATCAGTCCTTGTGGCCTTCTATACAAAGATTTACATTAGAATCATGAACACAGCCAAGCAATTTGCCAACTATATCTAACAAATGAGATTTTGCCAGATACAGCATCATTCAAATGTAGCATACCTGCCAATTGTCATTGAGCTCCTTCACCTGCTGTTGCAGCTCTCTAAAAGATTTCATTGCCTCAGACTCCCGCACCTTCATAGCCTTCAGTTCTTCCTGCAGACGGGCCACATTGTTTTCATCTGGAAGCAAGCTGTTCTTCTGGAAAGGAGATGATTTAAGCATTAGTGCTATATATGTTTTTCAGATCTGAGGTTGCAGGTGCTTCTTGTAGAATGGCCATCTTCAGCCATTCTATGCTACTGGAAAGTATTTGGGCCCAAAGCAGCTGACATCACTGGGGAGAAATATGGGGGAAGGAGGGGCAGACTTGCTTGAGGTCCAAAGAGCTGTATAGGGAGTCCTAGCAGGCCAAAGGTTCTTTGGTCTATGCTGTGGCTTAAGGGATCCTGTCTTGGATATTTTCTAACACTTGTGTACTTCTGTATCAGTCTTTTAAAGAGAAGTTACCTTTTCCATGTCTAGGACTTTATCCTGCATCTCTTTAAGAGCACTCAGAGTCTCAGACTCCCTCAAGCGGGATTGCTCCAGTTCTGTTTCCAGATGGCTCACAAACTCCTCAGAGAAGCGGGGGTTTCCCTACACAGTATGAGAAATGTTAGTAAATCAAATGAAATGATACTACAGCCATGAATGAATAAATGTTCCTATAGTTCCAATGTTCCTATAGTTCCAATGTTCCTATAGTTTTTATTGCAATCAGCTAGCTCTAATTTCTGCAACTAGAAGTCAGAATCATATAAGTTGGAATGCAGGCAACTTATGAATTCTCTGAATGGCTTGTTGTTTTAAGGGGGCTGTGAATATGAGGAGCAGAGGAGAGACATGTTTAAGGCTTTTCCTGAAGGCCATTCTTCTGAACAAAATATCTCCCTGCCCTTTTTTAGTCGCTCTATCTTTAAAGGAAAAATGCAGTTCAGGGAGGGCAACTTTACAAACTAAATTACAGTCCATAGAAAAAGAGGATAAGCATTATTCTGCTTTATAAAAGCCATACCCTCCTAGTGGATTACAGTTCAATTGTTCCTTCTTTTTTTTTTTTCCATTTCAGGAGACTATTTATTTATTTATTTATTTATTTATTTATTTATTTATTCGGCTTGTATGCCACCCATCTCC